AAGGGATGGCATTGGGAATTTTCGCAAGTTCTTGACTCGCACCTTCCGCCCATATGAAAGTTTATTGTTGGTCTGCAAAAGGAACGCGCATGAATGAAACTAAGATCAAACAGTTCATTGCAGGCCAGCCGCAAGTGCCATTATAGAAGAAATGAACTCAGCATGTCAGGATAGTTGGTTCCTGTTCTATCAGATACTTCGAAGAACTCGAGAACGCTAACGCCAATATGCAGCTTCTCTGTTATTTAAAACGCGTTGCACGCAGTTTTAATTACTAATCATATAGTCTGCTATTTGTGTTGTATCACAGCAAATAGTTTGTGCTGTATCACAAAACGTTTTTGCGTTGTGTTGTACAGGATGTGCTTCTGTAATGGTCATAAATTTAAAAAAAAACTTCATAAAACTATAATGAGTTATATCCTTCTATCTTATAATTGTGGAGACAATCGTCAACTAATGGCTCACTCCTCAAATTTCATGTAATAAAAGCCCACGCAGTGGGCAGCGAACGATTGTGTGGCAGGCAACTGTGCGCGAGTAAATTAGCGTGTACCGATATATACACCAAAGATTCGTAATTGTCTGTCATCTGATACACAAATTGTTTGCGTTATGCTTGTAGATAAACCGTGTTTTTGCTATTTTTTCTAGCCAGTGTGCTTATGCATTGACTCGTATTTGTACTCTTCATTTAGTTGCTGAGCAGTGATAACGATTCTTGTTACCTTGGTATGCCTTTTCATTAATTTCAGAATTGCGTCTATTTCTTTGCGCAGTCCTACGATGCTTACAATTCAAACCAAGGTTGCTCGTCGACAAAGCATCAAACTCAAAACTTAGAAGCCGTAGGTTTGAGTCTCGGTTGTGTCATTCGCCTTTTTAACTTGCGACGTAAAGAAATTAGCACGTCTGTTGAAAGGAAACATGAAAATACGCGCTATGGAGGTCACCAAGCGGTGGATATTGCGTTAGGAAAGTAAGGAGCAGTGAGGCACTCCTGACTTATGGCATGGAAACATGATTGACTCCACACCATAACCTTCATACTATGAATGGTGTTACTGATGTCACCAAGTCATGGTAATGTAAGGATGACCGATTGTCTGTCCAAACTTTTCTTTTCTTCTGCTATATCGAAAATCTGATGCCATGAAATATTGAACTCATCATTTTTAAGCAGATAGATTACGGAATTGTGTTTGTTGCTAGAGTCGATTTAGGGCTGTCCAAATTGACTATAGAGTCCTGAAATAACTCAGCAATGGATTTACTTGCGAGTGTCATTAATTTAGAGACATTTGACAGAATGTCATGACTCAAAAACAGAAAATGCAGCAAATCGTGTACATGCAAGTTGTTTATAACACTGTATGAAATTTACTGATAACACTATTCACTTTGCGTATAAAACTGTGTCAAACATCGTCGCGTTGTTTTAATTCATGTCGGTTTATTCTTTTCACGTTGGGATCCCTTGTCGAAGAATTCTGCTTCATTGTTTAATTTTAAAGGAATTTACTCTTTTCTTTTCTTAACCATTTTCTGATGATGTCTACAGATCTGTCGCTATCATGATTTTAAAGGAAATTGTATCTTTTGCCGCCGAAGCTGGGGTTACGTAATACAAATCTTTCAAACAGTCAAACATCGCAAATCTACTATTCAAGCCCTGCTAATCCTAGACGATGATAGAAACAACGGCAACATATGCTGCTATTAAAGGATGAACTCATTATGTGTTTAACTTAGAATTTTTTAGTGCGACGATGTCCGACCGGTGTTGAGAGAAAGATACCTGAACCAGGTTTTAACTAATTCTGGTCGCAGGTAGGAATGCTACCCATATCGGAAGATATTCTGTTTGCATCATCTTGTAGCGATTGTCACTACACGACATGGCATTTTTTTGTGAAACAGTAGATATCACCTAATGGTATTAGTCAGTTGGCATGCATGTTGTATGCAGTCGATCACTGTTTCGTTTTTCATGACTTATGATACATTCATGTTCTTGATGCATAATGCCGATTTTTCACACTATCAGAAGTTGCTCGTTCAGATACCTTGGTGTACACTGAAAATATTCTGTTGAATACGTTTCTCAGCGATTTATTGTGGGCAATTTTAAATTTTGTCTCAAAGTATGGCAGATTTCAACTTTGGTGTCGGCATCCGGTTTTCACGTTGTTCTTTCAAGTCAGTTTGCACGAATGATTTATAAGCTTTGCGGCTGTCGTTGTTCAAGTTGTGTGAAGAACTAGTTAACTTTTTTGTACAAAAGTAAAGACGCTTGCTGTCTTTTTAGTTGTTCTGTTTTTATCAGACTATGCTGGAAATTTAACTGATTCTTTAAGAATCATAGCCGCTATTGCAATTTACGCAACCACAGAAAATGTGCAACTTTGTTCAGTACTGCGTGCAGGTCGTTTGGAAAAGCAGTTACGAGATCATGAATTGTATTTACATGCTTACGCACTCATGAAAGCTGAAAAAATTTACAAGGATTCGAATGACAGTCGTGGTGACCATCACGGGGCCGATGAGCTGTTTTATTTCGTGTCGTTTTATTCTGCTAATGATGAAAGTGCATTTTCTGTTTTTGTGCGTTTACTGGAGGGTCGTATCTACCATGACAAACCGAAACCGAGTTTGCGGCTTGTGAGGTCGTCCATTAATCGTTTATTGGGAATTCATCTGTTCCATTTTTGTCTTGCTGTCGTAGGCAGTGGTTGTATCTTAGATCCGCGATACATTCTTAAATAGTTCTAAATTTCAGCCGTATGTCTTGAATTTCACTCCTTGCCATCGAATAGAATTTTATAACATTTAATCGTTAGTGTTATCTTGCGCACCACTGAATTCGGTTGGTTGTTTGCTTTGTCGTTTTGAACGGCCTCTGATCGGTCAGTGATACAATATTTTGTTACTGAATTAGAGTCCATCGAAAAGTTAGTGCTCTTTAGCTTAAATTGTTTGCGCGAAGCGAGTTCAAGAAAACTGCTAACGCTGGTCCTGGGGTATATTCGGCCTTGGAATAGCAGTGGCGTATTCATCAATCAATGTTTCTCCAATCCAAGCTGTAAGGGATCACGTGAATGCAGCTCCTTTATATGCGAATGACAGAATGAATTGTTCTAGACCTTGCAACAATACCAGCTTACGTATTACAAATCGGATATTTTCATTTGCTGCTAAAAGGCTCAACAGAATTTATTAAACTTCCCGTTACCTAGTTGAAGCGGGCGAGACTGACATTAGGCACTGTTGTTGTCGTCCTTTCTTAAAAGTAAATTTGCTTGCATTGTCTTTCCACTTTATCTACATCGTTCTCAAGTACATCTGAGGCTTCTGTTTCCTGTTGATCTTTAAAGCGAAACTTTCTATTGCGTTGATTTATCGATCCAGACCGTGTTAACTTTCTGATTCTGTCTACGGCACGGGTCAGGTAATTATAGCTATTACCCCAAGATATATTTATTTACGCCGGCGTTACCCCCCTTGATTTGAAAGGTACAAATCATAGATTAAATTTAAAGGGTTTACTGAATCCGGAGAATACGATCATAAATATGAAAAGTATAAAATAAATGCGATAAAATAAATATCCTTTTCATGAAGCAAAGGATTAATTTGAAAAATTTTTCACTTAAGGTTTTAGAGAAATGATGTTTCATTTTTGATACAGTAACATCAAATTGGGGCATTTGATATCAGAACAATTTAGATACTGTCTTCGGGGCCCAACCGATTTCTCCGCTTCGTTTTTAATTTGAATGAAAAATCCTTGTTCGCAAATGTAGGTTGTGGCAAAAGGCAACAATTTATGACTGCCTCCTCATATGCAATTATGAAAACCTTTGCTGCTCTTGGCATCCAGAAATGACATATCTACTTTGTTTTCAAATTCAGTACTTGCTTCAGTGTTGAATCGAAGTTAAAGAAATGCCTATGACAACCGTTAACGCTCTTCCGATACATCAGCAATTTCACATTTAAAGGGATCTACAACCCAACTGACAGTAGGTGAATTAAGATCTGAAAAGTAATCAGAAAACCGCTCTTTGAGTTTTGTAAGATGCTTTACAATTGTATCCTTGATGTCGTTGAAAATAATATTTTTATAATCTTCCGAAAACAAAGCTAACTTGGAAAAGGCAGCTATCTTGTTTTGTTGTGCTTTCTGTCTCCAGTATAAAAGTTTTAATCCAAACGCTGGAATCTTTTCTCTGGCCGAAATTATATTGATGTTTTTTCCTTGCAGTTATTTGTGCAGAGCATTCACATTCTCAAAAATATCTCCTAAATATGCGATTGCAACCCACGAAGAGTTTAGAGCTTATCTGCGAAAACATGCTTTGAATAGGAGAAACTATATTAATCAAATCGAACTAACATACAATTAAAATATGGTCAATAAATGAGAATGTTAGGCTTAAACCAGAACTACTGAAATAAACAAATTAAAATCGAACTTAAACAAAGCAAAAATGCGTGTCATAATAAGGTTAAAGCGGGTAATAGACAACTGATAATGTTTAACTTGTTAACAACTGACAAATAATGTTTCACTTGACAATGCCTTAACAACCAAATTTTCTGGAGTTCAACATGGTGTGACCTCTTCTAAACAGGTCTATTACACTCGCCAAATGCAGTACTGCCAGAAGAAAAATTTTTCATAACAAAGAACGCGCGTTTTATAATCTTATTTATATCTGTTGAGTCCTCATTACCCCCAAGAATTTCATTTTTACCCCACTTTGGGTAGTTTATCCTGGTTCGCCGACCCCAGCTATCTCATAACATCGATGTTGAAATCTCTGTTTAGACTTGATCTGAATAAATCTCAGCACTTTCGGTCAGGTTAGTTTTTAGCCTCTACATCAGACTCGAAAAGAACGACTCTTCGACCATAAATAGGGATCAATAAATTAGATGATGCTCAAATAACGCCCTCCATCAGTTGTAAGTTGCATCCTGTGTTCGGCCCCAACCAGTCACAAAAGGTTAAAATGATTCAACTGTTCTGCGGCCTCTGAATCTGGATCGTTAATCGTGACGCACGTGTACACGACTTGTTTTACTTGGGCCCACTTGTAACCGTAATTTCGGGTGTTGCGTACGCCAGGTAAGGCCATGCAAGTTACTTGTGGAGTCCCTTAGCAGCATGATATCATCATGTTCAAGGTCTGCCGGAAGTCGGAAGAATATCGAGTACTTTCAGCTGCGTCGTGGATGGGCCGGTTTGATTTCCTGTAAGACTGTTTTATAAAGCAGGAAACAAAAATCCTGTACTATCAGGAATTTCGATATCACGATTAACGCTCCACGATGTCCCTAACGTTTCTAATTGGAAAACGTAAGTTAACTACTGTCCTGTAAATTCTGGGCTGTATCGTTTTTCTTTCCTTAATATAGACTATTAGGATAGAGTGTCACCTTACGTGATACATTTGTCAAGCTGACAAAAATTTGAAGATGCAAAATATATTTGAATGAATGATCACAACGATCAACTCCAGAGAAGTTTGCTTTTCTCCATACATAAAATAATTGGCTGTCAACAGCTAATTAATGATAGTAAGCAATCCGCAACAACATATGCTCGCCAGGTTTGCTTGTCTTAAAATAACATGTTTATAACAAATCTGATAAAAAAAGACATCGCTGTACAAAAATCCGGCAAGAAAAATCGAAAAACATCATAATAATGACCCAGCGCTAATAACAACAAGTCAAAACAGAAAATTGCTAGGAAACTGCTTAACGAATACCAAACCTAACAGACTTGTACAGATTCCAATTTAAAAACTAATTCAAAATCGAAAAACACAAGGAACTGCCGATGGCGTCTCTAACAGATACTTCGTCAACACACAGCTAAAAAAACGAATAAATGAAGGCAAACATGACGAAAATAGCACCTTGTAGTCAGATGATTTTGCGCACTTTTCGAAAAATCGAGAACTCTCCAAGAGTTGGCAGATATTATAAATTTCGCAGCTGTTAATTAAGGGAAGATTTTTCTTTTTACAAACCGCTGTATATTCACTGTTCAACTGAAATAAACGTCTGAAAATTACAAACGATCATATTTATCCCAGATAGTTTTGCTGACCTTCAAAGGACTAAAATGTTTGGTTCCTTTCCTACATAATCGAAACGCGATGGCTAGAAAAATTTGCTGCTGAAACGGGAGCTTAGCGACTGCCTCTGTACCATTATCACGTCTGTACGCTTGCTTTATGCTCTCCATGATGTGGTCGCTGCCAACGAAAAGCGAAGAAACGGCTATAAAGAAAGCCTCGCAACACAGAAAATCGGTAAAATAAACGCAACCACAAAGTACAGGTCATATGTTAGCTGCTCACTGCTAATAAATGGTCTGCACTGCTGTAGCCTGTGCGTTGGGCGTAATATTGCTCAGAGCTTGCTGACTTCGCTGACCCGGCTATCACCTAATTGCTGCTACCGTGTGAAAATTCTTACCTCCTGCCTTTTGTCTACATAGATTCATTTTAAAAAATCAATTTTACCAAAATCGTCTAAGCCATGATTGCCAAAGAAGCTTACTGTTCGCTTCCTTTTCTTCCGCTGAAATTCGATCGATTGCCAAAGAGCAAATCTCCAAGGCCTTTCGGATGTCACCAGTAACCGCAGAAACTTTTCTGGCACAAAGTTCCAGAGCGCTAGGGGAAATTATTTCCGCAGTCTGGAATAAAATATACTAATGCGACACAAACAGGCAAAATCAGCGAATACCTCTGAAAGACGATGCCTTAAAATGCAAAGAACTTCATCCTTATTGTACGGTTGAAAATGCAAAAGTTGAGGCTTTAACTCAGCAGTCAGCTTTAATTTTGGCAATAGCTTATCCACCAGATCCAACGCATTCGCTATTCCTTAAAAAACAAAAAAGTTAACAGCGGTGCGAAACCAAACAAACCAGCCTGGAATATGAGCATATCTTACTCACGATCGGGCGAACTGTAGTCCCGGCAAAGTCCAAAACATGATACTCACCGCGTGCAGTTTCATTAGGAAAGACTAGGAAGACACAGAAAGGAAAATTATAACCTTTTTCATTTGTTCGCCTTTAAACTGGTTACACACTGGCTACACGTAATAGACAAACACGCCATGCAATTTTTCCTGTCAAAAAGAATTAAATTTGTTCGCCAGAGAAAATCAGCGAAACGACTGGTACTGTAGGAGTAACTGGCATAACGGTTTACGTTTACTGCGAGCTTTGGCTCCCGTTTTGTGATCAAAGGATAACAGTCCACTTAATACTTTTAAGGGAATTATATCTAGTGAATTTTTACTGTGATGACAAATCTGAACGGAAGATTTGAGGGCAACCGCCCGTACCATTCCTCAATGGTGAAAGTGGTTAAATCGTTTCAGCATATCCCGTTCTATGAACAAATGAATTGAAGACAACGACTCATGGCAAGATGAGCGGAAGATCAGTAAAATGGTTGACTACTGTGATTCGCTTGCATGGGCCGCTTCCTGAATTACGGCTATGCATAGAACATAATGACCTGCGCTCCCTTGGTCGGACTGCTTACCACCGTCGGCATCTAGCCTCTCACTGTAAGACTGCTTTCGGCTTACTATTCCATCCTCTGCCAATTTCTTCGCATTGACAGACAAACTTCATCAGCTGATCTGACTACCCGCGAAATCGCACACTGGTCGTATCTGGCACGAGATCTGTTCGTTCTTCATATGAGAAGCTGACTACCCATTGAGAGAACCACCACTTGCACGAAATACTTAATTGCGTAAACAAATTTCGGTCCACTGGTTCCGTAGATCGCCATGTGTTTCGAAAGTTGCAGTTCGCAGGCAACAAAGTTGTGAGCATTTGGCAACTGCGTTCTCATTTGCCCTCAACCCCCTCCCCAAACATCGAAATTTTGTCAGGCTAAACCATAATAAAGCCCACCAATCATTGCTGCTCTAAAGTATCTCTAAATCAACCACACTTACAGGCGTCAAAGTACTAAGTGTAAGGTGTTCAACAGCGAACATCACTGTTGCAGCACGGTCATGTCAATGAGAATGCATCTGGTAATGTGACAATCTAGAATAAATGTCACGGATTAGTTTGGACAGAACGATCCAAATTAACGGTTTTACAGGACCTGTTTTCGATCACTTTGAATATTCTAATAAAACAATCGTCAAAGTTTCGGACAGATAACCATCTGGTTGTCTGTAAACTGCATCTTACAAACACTATAACGACCTACAACACCGGTAGACCAAAACTAGCCGATCGAATAAACAGAGGATTTGAAAGATGAGAGTGCGAATGAATAGTTACGAATGACGTGCTAGCTAAATTTTACCAAATATCCAACCAAGCTCTAAGCATCAAGACAAGGCGAAGCAATACCCAACTCTTTCAGCACAAGATGTTACACTGAGCTGAAATGAAGGAAAGCTTATTTGGCTTGGCTCGCGAGGAAGTTTTCCAGCAAGTCTCCTTTGCAGATGCGATTCGCTGAGCTGCAGCACATGCACCAAGAGCAAGGCTCGAAGGCAAGGCATCGGTATCGATGTAAGAGAGACTGAACTCTGACTAAGCTGAAGGACTACAGCAAACCTAGCAGAATATCACCCATTTTTCCTCGAAAAATCTGGTACTGCCTGAGTCTAATAACGTTTGTATTGGGGCCATATAGTCCGTGCAGAAGACATCCTCCAGAGACTGAGGAAATAGAATAATGACCAGTTAAATTCAGCGTCAGCGGGAATTGACGATACTACGATATATCTTATGACAGAAAACGTCACAATGGCCCAAGGTGACAACAACGATTAAATCGCGAAAAACTTAAAAGGATTTTGGGGCGACGAAATCCTATCTGAAATAATAAACTAGTATTTCAATCACGACGACATCTTCTAGCTCACTAGCTGGCATCGGGTTCCATAAAATTTCAGAAAGGCATGAACGAAGGGGCAGATTATGTGGTTTTCTCCTGCTGAAAACAGGAATTCAGAGACTGCAAAAAATGTGGCACTTCTCAATTAAGCCTCTCCAAGAAATTCAGTGCAACATTAATAAAAAAAACATGAACATAAATAAAAAATAAGGTCCATGACCAACAGTGCGGTATTCGCCAAAGTCCATTACATCGTATTAATGCATATGCTGATTATCTAAAAGGTGCACTGATGGAAGACGAAAAATACACCTATTATATATCTATAAAAACGTCACGATACTCGACAGGTTTGCCGCCTGGTGACAAGGACCGGATGAAAATCGGTCTTACCAACAGCATAGCTCAGGTGTCTGAGATTGAGATGTTCTGGAATGTCAAATGACTGTAACTGGGTCGTAAGTTTTAGCAACGCAAAGTAGCATTCATCAGAGGGGCAAACCGGAAGAAAAAATGCAAACAGATCACTCACGTCTAAGCATATCGCTGATATGACCATTTCGACAAGTACCAGAGGAGGGTAACCGAAGAAACCTTTGACTGCCGACAGCTTCTTCTGTAGCTAAAAAGATGACCATCTAGACTGCTTCCATACGTGATATGAATGCCAGTGC